CAACAAAAGACCAAAGATGCGTGTGCCTAAACTTACCCAAATCCTCTCCCTAGCAGATAGGCTAACCAGAAAGTTAAGAAATGAAAGAAAAACCTTATGGAAAAGTGGGTTAAATTTTCAGCCAGAAACAAAGCTCCATTTATATCAACAATATTTTTTAAAGGGACCCTTAAATACACAAGAACAAATGAGAATTCTATACTAATTCAACCATCCTAAAGAGGTGCCTTAATTGTGAGTGCCACTAACATTTTAGGTATTAGCAACTCAAACTGAAATGTCAAAGACCAAGAACACTAATTGTGTACATGGGGTGTCAATTCTGTCCTAATCGTATTTATAATTACACTGATGGGCAGGTGCTCATGTGTACACACAACACATACTCAAATGCCTGGAACAAAAACAGCCAAGGAAACATATGCCAGTAAGAAATTGATTCACATGGGATTTGTAAAAATAAGGCTCATTTACTGTTAATAAAACAGACTTAGGGCCGGCCCCGTGGCGCACTTGGGAGAGTGCAGCGCTGGGAGCGCAGTGACGCTCCCGCCGCGGGCTCGGATCCTATATAGGACTGGCCGGTTTGCTCACTGGCTGAGCGTGGTGCGGAGGACACCAAGCCAAGGGTTGCGATCCCCTTACTGGTCACGAAAAAAGACAAAAAAAAAAAAANTGACAAAATAAAAATTAAAAAAAAAAAAACTTCCATTCCTAAGTTCTTACGATATCACAGCGCAAGAAGGTGATATCGTAGAGAGGGAATTCAATTTTTAGTTATATCATTGCATGTCTCTCCTTTGCCTGTTGACAAGCTCCACCTGACTAATCTGCTTCCCACATGACCTTCTCACGTTTGTCTTCAGGGACTGCCTGTTACCCACAGCATATAGCCAGAGCTTCCAATGATCATTCATGCCATGCTTTCCAATTTGAATTCCCATTGCCATTCCCCAAAAAACTTGAAATAGAAATAATCTAGCCACTGACCCCTAAATGATATCATGGCTACTCCATTCCCACATTCCTTCTAAATGAACCCAAACTAGCATTATCAAAATGTTTTAAAGATCGGTGGAAGCCCCTCTAAGAATCTTCTCAATGATTCTGTTTTTCCTGGAATTCCTATTTGAATTATCTGTCTTGTAGGATTCATCTGGCACTTACAGAAAAGTGATTAGCTGTGTGTGTGTTTTCACTCCCCCTGAAACAATAAAATGTTTTGGAACATGGATCATGTGCTATATACTTCTTTCAATCTTTCTCAATGGTATGCCAATATTAGGGACTCAATTAAAATTCTCTGTATTACAAAGAAATTGAAACAATCTTACCAGAACTGTTATAACTGCTGCTCCTTGGCATTTCTTACCACTACTACCTCTACACTCTAAATGTAGTGTGGTCTGTTCTTCTCGATTAACATACTGTTTTGGCATTGTGTCCAACAGCTCACTGTCCAGGGCAACCTGTTGAGATTCCCGAAGAGCTGCAGTTCTGAAAAACACATCAGGAGGTAAAAGAAAGTCTAGAAAAGGTAACATGAAAAGTGATAAAGGCTTCTGGTTACTCCCAGACAGCATTAAGGCACAGTAAGACATGAGTATTCCATAGCAACAAAAGACCAAAGATGCGTGTGCCTAAACTTACCCAAATCCTCTCCCTAGCAGATAGGGTAACCAGAAAGTTAAGAAATGAAAGAAAAACCTTATGGAAAAGTGGGATAAATTTTCAGCCAGAAACAAAGCTCCATTTATATCAACAATATTTTTTAAAGGGACCCTT